GTCCTGCCATTTAAGAAAAAAAAAAAAAGCAGATAAAAAACCACCTGAAAAGTTGTTTCATAAGCAAAACTCAGCCAGGAATATCAAAGTTGAACATTAGAACATCCCTTTCTTGATGTACTGTGCCTTGCCTTTTCAGAATGGCATGAGGTTAGCAGGGGCTGTCGATGCCTGCTTTGCTGTTCCTGTGTTTGTACAGTTGCCTTATGTTTTTCTTTAGATTTCTTAAGCTCTTAATTTAAGATTCTCCCACAACCTATTGGAAGACTGCTAATAATGCAGTTGATATTATTTAAGTTGATTTATAAAAAAAAAATAAAGCTCCCAAGATGTATCCATTTATATTCTTAGTAATAAGTTCTTGTACATAATTTGATCTGTAAACTATACTGTTTTTATTTAGTGTTTGATGTATAAAGTTACGGTTTCTGTCATTAAATAAATCCAGTATTGTCAGAAATTATTCTCTTAAGCAACCTTTTTTCTGTGGAAAAGGTTTGAGTTATTTATTCCTTCTCTGTATTCTACTATCTATGTTGGTTCCTCTAAAAGTAATGCCTCCACAATGCAAAGAGCAAATAACACCTTGATAGAGCATATTCTCAGCTACCATTTTTCAGCACAGTCACCATCACTAGCTTTGCATTTTCACCAGCAATGAACGAGAGCCACGCTCATGAAAATCTGCACCAGCAGAGGTGCCCTACTGTTTCATAGCTGCCTACAACTGCATCGGTGCTAGGAAAGTAGGAAAACATGGCCCATGTAGTCCATCTTTCATTGCCCTGAACAGACGGAAGTCAGAAGTGCCAAATCTGACCTATACATTGGATGAGGTAGGACAGTCCAGCCAGGACAAGCAATTTGCTCCATGGTCTGCCAACTGGTATGGAAGCCTGGCGTTATTGTGTTGGAAGAGAAAGGTGGTCGTCTTCTCTGACCTGACTGGAAATTTGAGCCTTGAGCTTAGACAGTATTGATGGTTTGTAGTGGTTCCAGGAAATCCAGGACTGTCTCTTTCCTACCTCAAAAGACAATGCACAGCTGTACTCACTGCTGCATATTGAACTTCTTTGATGGGGAATTCACATGTTGCCACTCCATGTTACTTTGAGTTTGACTTGTAGTGCTGATGCCATGTCTCATCACCTGTAATGATGGGATCCAGGAAATAGTCATCTTCAGCTTACTTTCTGTTATGCTTGTATGTGAGCATCTTTGGGACCTACCTGGCAAGGACTTTGTGACATTTCAACATTGTTTCCAATGCATTGAAGCTGATATTCAGTTCCATGCACAGTTCCCTGGTTGTAATCTGCTTGTTTGTGTGGAAATGACTGAAACTACTTTGTGACATGACAGCTGCGCATGGCCATCCAGAACATGGCTCATCTTTCACACTGCTGTTGCTACTGCTGAAATGCACCACCCACTGCCTCACTGTGCTCACACCCACTGTTTGGTTTCCATCAGTGTCCAACAAGTGTTGATGGATGCCATTTTTTCTGCATGGAGGAATTCAGTTTTGCCTCAAACACACTTCCATGCCAGCTGTCATTCTGCCAGACCACCCCCCTGCTGCCATCTGTCACAGCAACATGGAAGAGAATGTTGGTGGGAAGGTTCCACCCCTACTGCCATACCACAATCTGCCTCTGACATCGTGGGCCAACATAATAACATAAGAGGCATTACTTTTGGAGCAGCCCTCATCTGTATACCTAGAAGGCTGTTCCATATGGTTCATTTAACACCTATATTCAACTTCTGCTAAAGTTAAATAAACTTGTATGAGGACTGGAAAACCACTGCATTCCTAAATTAAGACATGGACAGACTAGAGCACAACAAACATTGTATAAATGTATACTTTGGCTGTGTTTACACTGCTGCCCAGGAGGAAGCATCATGTGATGCTTATGTCCCTACTCTGAGCTGGGAAGTTCTCCAGCATCACACTCCTGGCTGAAGGACCTTAGTTGTCCAGCTGCCTTCTCATTACTGCTAGCAACTTAAGGCAATGCTGGTGTTGCAGAAAGGCCAGCTTTGTTGTTGCTTTGTTCCTGGGGAAGTTGTTTTGTTGGGATTTGTTTGTTGGTTTTCTTTATCCTGCTCCCTAATTGAAACATTAGGACTTGAGCACATTAACACTTAACATTTTAGCATATTAGCTAACTCTTCTGTGAGCCCACACAGGTATCTAGGCTACATCAGAATTACACGTATCAAAATTAGGGTTTCAAAAGGCTGATTACAGAAGGAATAACATGGCCTAACAATGAACAAATACTATTTAGTAAGGCTGCAACTATAGATTTAAAAATTAAAAACCACAAGTGATGTGTGGATAACTTTCCCCACCCTTTCATTTGAGCCAGAATCATATAACTCATGGCTGTTAAATGAAGAGCTGTGCATATCTCAAGCATTGGAACTGTGTACCTACTTAGCAGGCTAACCATTAGGTTATGTCACAAGTCTACTGTGACTATGAAGCTCACTCATCAGCTATGAGACTTGCCAGAAAGCTCAGCAACATATGAAAAGTAAAGTCTGTAAGAGAGCTTTGTCTTATAAATACTAGCATCAGCATTAACTTATTCAGTGCCACTAAGTTCAGCAGCCCAGGCTAGTGCTAAACAAGCACATAAGATATGCTTTATTTTTTTTCCTACCTAAGATATGCTATCTTCATTATTACTCATCACACTATATTGCTTTATTTTGTGTCTGCAACACCAGAGTGTAGTTTTATGCATAAATATGAAAAGCTACCAGATTTTCTGCACAGCAGCAAAGGCTGAATTACCATTTTATAACCACCTACTAAGCATCAGCCAGCACCTAAAACATAATGATTACAAATTATGAAAAGCTAGGGAAAAAAAAAAAGGAGAACTGTATATTTATTATTACTTTCATTGCCTTAGATTAATATATCTGTACTTCAAGGAAAGTATTAACATAGACTAGTGACTTGAAGTTTCAGCAGAACTCTTGCTACAGAACCACAAACATTTGATCTGTGCATCTGTTTCACTATGAAATCCAAGCAAGGAACCAAATTTAAGAAAGAGGTCAAAGATGAGCAAAGGTTTTTAAGATCTCACTGTACACAACTTCATCAGATAGTTTATATTCTAGTTGCTAGCTGTGGCAGTCACTGCCACTCTTACCCACTCTGCCTACCCTGAAGGGTAGCTGGCATATATCTACTTATACTGCAGAATGAATGCACATAGATTTTAACGGTTTACTTGGTACCTAAAAACTCCAGCTCGGGCTCCTATCACTCTTAACTTAGAAATGGAAATTCACAGACATTAAATAAGTTATACACAAGGTTAAAATGTAACAGCTCATGCTTCTAATTTTATAGATATCCATGCCTCTACCCAGAGGCAATGGCTCCAAGTTATTTAACAAGTAGCTTTCCTAAGTAAACACAGTGTAGTTTTTAAGATGCAAGTATGTATCAGAGTTAAAGAAGTAAAAGAGTATCAGAGTTAGGCAGTAAAAGGTTCTGGGCTTCTACACAAAACGACCCACAGCATACAGAACTCAGCACAGCCCTGCCAGTCCTGACAAGGAGGTGCTCTACGAATCACAAGCCTAGCAGAGATGAAGTACAACAGGCCTCAATACAACTGTGGTAACTGCCAGGATGAGGACGCCACAACATAACATCTGCTTTTGCCAAAGTTGTCTGAGTGCTGTAGTTAGGTAATCTACTACAAGGAAGTAAACCCACAAAATTAAAAGAGCATCATCTGTTACCTTACAGACAGGCAGCTTGGTACTTTCTTCTGCTTGATTAAATATAGATTCTGAGAATGTGGACAGTACACTTCTTACATTTTTAAAGGAATGAAATAGGGAGCGAGGGGCTACACCAGTAATACTTGAAACTGCTACCAGTAGCTGCTTACATTCATTATCTTTTGTATAATTAGTGTTAAATGAGCTTGGATACACCAACAACCCAGCCACAAAGCAGGTTCAAATGCAGTCTAGGCATGGAAAAGGTTACCAGATAATTACTTCTCCCTTCACCTTATGTCTTAAATGTTTTACAAGCTTCTCAGGTGCTAAGTAAAGCTTTACTGCTAAGTAAGCATAAGCCTACTGAGTTAAAAGTGTAAGTTGTGTGGATAACACATTTCAACTACTGATAGCCAAACACATCTCTCTATAAGGCAGCTGAAGTCTCTGCAAATGCCCTGAAAGAACTTAAGACAGCTAAATCAGGTAGTTCACAATTAATTTTAGAATTCTTTAATATTCTTACAAAAAAAAAAAAAAAAAAAAAACAACAAACAGAATCCCTGAAATATAGCTTTCCCCTTTATTACTACTGTATTCAGACAATGAATATTGCATTGCAGAGGAAGCCCAGAACTCCAAGTGAAGTTCAGGCTAACATTCTCCTCAACCATACTTCTCAGATCAGTTCTTCCTTGCATCAGACAACAGACATCTTTGTAACTACTAGATCAAGCTTGTCAGACATTGTCTCAAGTGGATTTTGGTAATCCTGGTTAGATTTTCTTCCATGCAGCACTGAGAAGGAACTCGAACTTCAAGTGAGACGGGATTTCTGCTTACCTTCAATTCAGATCTAGAAGTTATTGCAGTCTCTCACAAAGACTAGAATTATATTTACTGACCACGGAAGTAAATCAGACAAATATAAAACTGTTATCTGACTTCCACAAAAGCTACATCCTAGCAAGTCTGCTGCTCTGCCTACAAATACCAGGAAACTGTTGAAATCAATACCTGCTTCAGCCGAAGTGGTGGAAGACATGGTTGACAGCAGGATTAATTAAGAAAGGTCTCGCTGTCACCCTCTTACTCCAAATCCCCTTTTGCTTTCTCCTAAGACAAGAGACCAAGAATGTATCTAGTAACTGATAAGAAGCAAGATAAAACAGCCACTCACTAATAATACCTACTATCTTCAAGGATTTCTTTGGACAAATACAACCATACGTAGTAAGTAAGTGAAATGCAAATGCTTCATTTTGCCTTGCAAGCTCCACTAATCCCCAGGTTAGGTTATCTGTTGTTTTGTTTGTTTCTTTGTTTTAAATAAACCAAAGATTTCTGCTATGGAAAAAAAAAATAATGTATACGTTTTTATGTTACGTTTATAACAAGGCTTTTAAAGAAAATAGTTACAGGTATTCAACTGCATCAGACTTCAAAAGAAAAAAGATTACACATACAATACAAAAATACAAAAAATATTTTTTTAGAACATACAAACTCAAAAGTCTAAGTGGTCAGAGCTTTCCTAAAATAAAATAAAAAAATACAACTGAAGATGCACTTTCCTATCTGCACTTGCAGGTTTAAATTTAACATGAAGAAAGGCTTTAGAGAGAGGATGAAAGCAATTAATATACCGAACTCTACAATCAGTTCCAGGTTAAAATGAAAGCAGTTGTTGATGCTATCAGGTATTGGAGTCCAGAAAGAACCTTACGTTTTTTCAAGCTTTTTTTGTTGTTGTTGCAGCTGTACTTTGTCATTTTTCCAAATTACTGCAAAAGGCAGACAGACAGGAAGAGGATGGGTTTTATTTCTAGTTGATACTACACGCATTAGGACTGCAAAACCAGGATTTTTTGAAACCAGATAGCATCCACTAAAGACACAGGCATCAAGGCATTTTGTTTTACACGGCAAGACAGGGAAAGTGCATCTTAAGATTTTTCATACTTAAGCAGTGAGTTATTGATTTTTGGTGTGGCTTTTATTCCTTCTAGGCATAGTAAAGAAAACTATTTCAACCAAATGGGAAGCTTAACGTACATTATCTTGTCCTTTTGGTGGTGGCCTTTGTGTACCACTCATTGCTGCATTTAATATTAGTCTCTATTTAATTCACGAGGAAATGCTAACAAGCACTACTCAAGGCTAATGACTTAAGAGGAGCACATTGAAAATACTGATTTATCCTTGTAGTGAATATTCTTTACAGACTGTATCTAATATACAGACAAGGCCCATTTCCTCAGTGTGAAACAGGCCACAGAATGTTACACATCCTACATGAAGTTTTAAACAAAATTAGAGCTAAGTTACCAGAGCCACTCAGAGCAACATAATTTCTAATTTGCAAAGACTTAACAAAAAGTTAATTGCAGGGGAAAAAAAATAAATCCAGGTTCTTAATGTTTCCTGTTTAAGTTCTTATTCAAATTAATAGTCCAGTAACACTTCTAGCACAAGACAATGCTCACTCTTTAGCAGTATTCCCAGGAGCCAACTGTTTCTCCTGTTAGGAAGAGGGAGCCGGAAATAAGAATGCAAGAGCACTCTACGTTAACCTGATTAAAGAGACAGTAACCTTTTTCCTTCACCTTAATTAATCACTGACAAAAATAAAAAAAAAATCTTAAAAAGGTACCACTCCAATTTCTTTATTATCTGTAACCTTTTGAAACTAATCACATGGAACTACAAAATTAGCAAATGCCTTGAGATCTGTATACAAAACATAAATTACCTCTAATTTCAAACTCAGTTATTAGTGTACCACTCAAAATCTTAAAAAAGTGGCTCCAAAGATAGTCTTACACCATTCTTAAAAAAGGAGACTGTTCCTTTAATGTTACACCCTCCCCTCCCCCCAGACACCCAAATCTCAATCCACATTGTTTAGTTATTCTCTTGGTCATGGATATTTCCAAGATGAGATTTTATATTTCGCTCCCATAGCTTCTGGTTGTCGGAAAACCCATGCTTTCCTTTATTGAAGGAATTTGGTCCTGCTGAAGTTGGTGTATCCCTGTGAAAAGCAAAACAGCATTAGTTGAGAAAGTCACTTTAATGACAGTAATTTGTGCAACAGGACACTGAAAAAAATTAATTTCAAGTCCAACCTGCTGCCAGGAACTACCACACATTTTTTTATTTCAGTTATGTCAGGACTCCTAGCTACCAGCAACTGTTAGTTGGTGAAAAAAACTCATCTGTCTGTGGTACGTCAAGATGAGATGGGGTAGGAGAAGAAGTGGAAATGGCAGTAACTGCTGCTAAATGTGAAGAATTTGTAGTACAGGCAAAGAAGCTGAGGATCCAAATCTACTGTTGGAGAAGAAAATTCACTGAGAAGCAATAAGTCTGCATTAGCAGTAAGTCAAGTCAGGGATCTGACTTTAAAAGCAATCTATAATGATGAACATCTTCAAAATATATATGCTCAAGATCAATCTCTCGCTTAATTAAAGCTTTACCTCTATTTAAGATTGACCCTAATGTGCCTCAAATCTGTGTCAAGAAAAAGGGCAATATATATTTATTTTAAAAGTAAACCAGCTGTTTTTTTTTTGTCTCTCCAGAAGACCATCTTCATCTTTCTCTTGCATGAGTTTAAAAATCCAAGCAGACTACATACACAGGTCAATGTGTAAAATGGGGAACTACCAAGATATAAGATGGAGCAGCAAACAAAAGCTTGCAGTTTGAAACTCCTGACTACTAATCTCCAAGAAGAAAACTAGTTTTTATGCGACACAGAATAAATTTCCTCCTCACTAAGAAGGCAGCAATTAGATCCAACATATAAATGTATGTATACTACTCTTAAACTACAATAGAAACATATGATCTACATTAACTGTACTTGTTTCTGAAGAAAAACTTTTTGAACCTATTCCATCTTTCTGTATTTATAAGCCATCTGCAAGACTTGACTTGAGCTTGATATTCTTCCACGCTCACCCTTCTTCAAACCACAGTTCACAGCTGACCTACCTTCCAATGTTCTTCATTCGCATCTTAGCTTCTGGAGGCATTTCCTCTGGTTCACTCTACAGTGGAAAAAGGAGTTTAGAGTATGGCTGGCCACTAACTTATGAACATTTCAATGCTAAATTATGGAATGCAGCCCAACAGGAAAGCAATGTGATTTAGAAAAAATAAAAATAAAAACAAACAATTCCTCTGATCATCTCTGTCCAAGAAGGAGCAGCAACACGACAATGAAATACTTAAACCAAAAAGAGCACAACTTCTATTTGCCTGTCCTTTATAAAGCCCAGAGAAAACAACTAGTAATTCAAACGATGTATATTTTGTCTTCAGGGAAAAGTTATCAGTATATTTAACAATCTCTTGAACCAGTAGAGTACTACAGAATTGAACATACTTAAATGGAAAATAAGGAGATGCTTCTAAGCTGAAAATCCCTGTTTTGTGTTTTAAATGACTTGCTATCTCCTCCTAAGTCTAACCTGCACTAATGGGACTCTAAGTTGTGTCAATCACCAGCTTATTACTCACATCTTCATCTTCATTGAAAGCCGCTGCTACAGAAAGGGTTTTTGGAGCAAGGGTTGGAACGGGCTCTTTAGGCTTCTGAAAGAGACCAAATACATGAGTAAAGTAAATGTACTAACTCAAAAAAAAAAAAAAAAAAAGCTACCCTTTGCATTTTAAATAACACAGTAAAACAAAGTCAAACATTTTCACTGAAACTGAAGGGGGCAATGAGGAGAAAAAGTATTTTACTTTGAATCAGAACAGATGAAGGTTTCTCTCTAATGAAAAGGAAAATGGCTGCTCATCTGTGCAAAAAACTCTCTGAAAAGCTGGTTGAGCCTTCTCAGATTACAGCTCCCCACAAGTAAATCTCAACTTACTAGCACACTGCAGGGACACACAGCCACTTGTGCACAACATGAACAGTTAGATCAGAACCCAAATAAGCTGTTGTATTAAGAATTTTACTATGCTACTGTTTTCATTATTCTTTTGGAATATCGTTGCTCATTAATGCCAAGAAGTGGAACACAATTATTTTCTCGCTTTTTCACAGATTAACAGCTTTCTGGCTTAAAACAATCTGAACCTTTTTAACCAGGATCACTCACACTATGGAGGCCTGAACAGCTTAAAGGTTCTCTGAAAAAGTACTTTTCAGATTTCTGGTAAATAACCTCTACTATTTCAAGCACATCAAGCTATTGAACTCATGATTGCCACATGTAATAGAGTTACTTCTGATGTCTTCTCTGCAAGACCACTAAGGAAGTGCTGAATCATCAGTAACAGCTTGCTTCAACAGCACTTTATCTAAATCAATTATAGGCAGTGCTTCATCCATCATCACTTTATTGGTTATCATTTTGTATACATTTGTATTTTGGAAGCTGATACTGCAGAATAATCCTTAGGCCTCCGCCTACAGCTCATCCAATATCCTATAGTATATAAATATTGTGTCACCTCTTAAAAGCATCAGCTCCAGAGGAATGGGTAGCATAGTAAGAAAAAAGGAAAAAAACTAAACTAAAAGGAAACAGGCTGAGCTACAGCACTGTCAAAAATGGTACAATGTCAATCACCCACTAAATTCAGTGAGCCAGAAATCCTGAGATAAATTTACTGCCACTGGAAATAGCTTCCTACATGAGAAATCTGAGTTTGCTACTTGCTCAGAAGGCAGATCTGCCAATTTTTCAAAGTCTGATCTGACCTAATTGTGTTTATACCCTGGAATGCAGCCAGCCCACGTCTCCTTCCCATGTGAAAATAACAGACCACTCTTTTCATCTTCTGCAGATCTGCACAATCCTGGCACTGCAGTGCAAGTCTTTTATGATTACAGTCTGAACTTAATCCAGACAAGGATCTATAACCTATCCATCACAGTGGAATGTATAAGGGAAGTATAAATGAACCACTTAATACAGGGGAAGCATCTGGCTTCTCCTTGCTTGAGCTAGTACAGGTCTACTTTGTAGTAAGGAGAAGCATCAGGTTCACTTCAGAACAAGCACAAGGATAACCTTCACTGTTTATCACAGAGCATAAGGATTCTTAGAGACCTGTGTAACGAGATCTCATCTCTTGCACATTATTTCAATTGTCTTTCCAAATAAATCCTTCAAAAAGGTTACAAAACATGCAACAGTAAATGAATCACACTGACCTTGCAAGTAACAAGCTGAGTTATGAAAAACAAACTATACTTCCCCATGCAAAAACAAGATCTTCAGAATCGAAGACTTACTAGGCCACCTCAGAGAGCGCTTGCTTTCATGAAGCTTTAAGCATCCCATGCAATGAAGCTCCCAGCTCTTATTTCCAAGTGACTTGAACAGTTTAATGAGTCTGCTCATTTCCCTCAGGAAATTATTCCAGACTATCAGATTTCATTACAAAATTATTGTGCGTATTCAGAGATCTATAGTTAATTTCCACCAGGTTGTATGCTTCCTAAGACAACTGACCTGGTATTAATCACCTTCAAGTACTTACATATGCATGACTAGGTGGCCCTGCAATGCTTTCTTAATCTTCATCCAAGTTACCCACATTTCATTCAAGATTTGCCTTCTACAAGGAAGCCTCCCCACCGTATGTCCCCTTTTCCTTAAAATTAAAAGCCTGCAGACAACTTACATTTGCTGCTAGTTTGATGGATATTGCAGATGCCTTCTTTGCTGTCTGACTGCCTATGGAAAATCCAAACTTGGACATTTTGGCAGGTGCAGGCTTTGTGGTGAAGTCTTCAGCTTCTTCATTAGCCGCCCGTTTCTCTGCGCTGCGACTCGAACTTTCCCCTCCATTACTGGAAGAAACAGTCTTAGTTTTCACAGGTTTTTCTGCCTCTTCTTCAGGTCCTGGTGAAGTCGAAACAACTTACCAAGATGAGCTATTTTTACTGAGCAGATTGATGGGAGCAGCAACCTCAAAAAGCATTATACTTTGAGTGCAATAGGTTAGGTGCTTTAAGTGACAGCAGTTGTCACCAACGTACATTTAGTGGACAGCAAAACACAAAGAGCAGAAGAAATCACAAGCACTCCACTATTAATACAGAACTTCTCATGTACGAGCCAGGAAAAGAATCTTGAAGCACAATCTATTTATTTAGTATGGAAGTCAAAGTTCACGTAGTAAATTAAGTGCAGATGACTAAATCTCTTTAGGGTTTAAGTTGCAATAGATAAAGTTTCACAAACTAGAATCCCAATTCCAAACCTAGAGCAGATGACCTAAGTTAAAATTAATTCTACTAAACTTGTATAACAACATGTCCATGCCAGTCTCTTGGCCTGTCTGGCACAACTCTAAGACCAGGGAAGTGACTACAGTCAGGCCGGCTGTCTCAGTCACGTTTCAAGTCACTGCTTGTCCGCATCTCATCTGTAATAAATTTGCCAAGCTCTGCTTGAGGAAGGAATCAGCACTGAAAAAACATATATACAGATTTCATCTTTTCTATTTTTGCATAAAATCATAGAAGAACACAGTAGTTGAACAGTGGTCCATAGAAGAAGGAGGGCTTGAATCACATTTTCATTTCCTACAGACACAGTTGCCTCAGCTACGCCAAGGGACGAAGGTGCCCTTGGAACACTCATAGTGAACATAGCAAACACTTCAGCAAAAATACGTTTCTCTGCTGCTGCAATAAGCAAATCACTGCAGTAGCAGATGGAAAAAAAAAAAAAAAAGGCATGCATTAGAGAAAGTGCTCATACTATCAGTCTAAGAAAAACTAGCAGTGGTTTCTCATCGTATCAGGTTGAGAAAAAGACTCTCCGCAAACAGCAAATTCAGACCACGAGGGAAGAAAAGTTCTTGGTATTGCTCTCTAGCAACAAAAAGCAGATAGGTAAAGCAGAGCAATGGGGGAGAAGCTAGTCTGAACCAGGGGTCACAAGACTGTAACTCTAGGATAAAAAAAAAAAAAAGAAAAAAGCAAAGAGTGTCAGGAAAAGGAAAATTAAGGATGTGAGGAAATCTTGAAGAGAAAAATGAAAGACGTATGCTCCAATTTGGCAGGTTTGCTGGGTTGGGTTTTGGTAGTGGTAGCTATTTGTTTTGTTTTTAATTGCCTTAATTTTCACAGCTGCTCCATATTGACATTTTTCAGGCATCCATTCAGTACACTTACGACCTATCCACCATTTCCATATTGCTGTTTCCTAAATCAGAAGTGTTGTCTCAGTAACAGAACATATAGACTTTCTACCTTAATGTGCAAGTTGTCAAGACAGTGAGAGACAGGAACAAAAATTGATTTCTCATTCCCCATTGGGAAAATGGTAGATAACAAATTTATTTCTTACACAGATGTAAAAAATTCTAACTTCACTCTATTCAAAAATAGCACTAGTCTGCATCACTGGAAATCTGACTCAAATTGGAAGTGTGAAAGCAACAAAGACAAAAGAGAAACAGGCACCATTTTCACTAGCAACCTTGGGTACTGGCTGCTGTCTTAACACAGCTTTTGAACAGCACTCTCCAGGGTTATGAGAAGCTGTTTACAGCTTGTTCATGAAACAGAATGAAACAGAATATTCAATTACTAGTCTAACCTAGGTACATTGTAGCGTGTAAGGTGATGCGAAGGCAGGGAGAAGATTCAATAGCCCAAAAAACTTTGGAATGGTTGATCTAAAAGCCTGCCTCTAAGGCAACAACAGCCCAGACTTTAGGTCACACTGGACCATTCCAGGCTCCTAAGCTCACGCTGGCTTGAAGCTAAATCAAATTATGATACCCTACAGCTTACTAATTTGACTGCAAATTCTAGAACACTGCTAAACAAAACATAAAGCTTAAGACCATCTAGAGTTGGCTGTACCAACTCCCACACACATTTTCTCACCCTTCTCCAGGAAATGTTAAATAGCCTCCCTCTCAAAATTTGATCCTACTGCCATTGCTTCTGCCAGGCTCTACTTAGGACAAACTGCAGACTGCTGAAATAAATGGTTTCCTTACAAAAACTTGCTTGATGAAGGTGCTACAAACAGCTCAAGACAACTGGGGGGAGGAACTGTTGTGGTATTCTATTTCCAGAGGAAACAGTTAGAAATGAAGATGCAGATCATTCCTTAAGCTGTTATTTCCCCAGCCAATGCAGACATATTTTTAAATGATTTTTACTATTTCCTACAGATTTCAAGATGGCCCTATTTCACCTACCACAAGCACCACCGCTATTCGGAAATCTACTCTGATCAGTGCTTTTTTCATGGATCACAGTAACAATACTATCTCTGTGACAGCAACAGGATCCAAGTGGTCAGCATGGAGCTGTGTCAGGGGAGGGGCAGCTGGGGGTTAGGGACAGGTTCTGCACCAGAGGGCGGTGGGCACGGAATGGACTGCCCAGGGCTGTGGGCACGGCTCCAAGTTGCGGGGTTCAAGAATCTTTTGGATAGTGCTCTCAGACACAGGCTTTGAATTTTAGTTGGTTCTGTGTGGAACCAAGAGTTGGACTTAATGATCCTTGTGGGTCCTTTCCAACTCAGGATACTCTATAATTCTATGATAAGAAGCCACACTGCTTCACACGGGAGTTTTCCTCACAAGCATCAACAAGCTGTGTGTGCACATGGACACTTTTTCACCACCCTGGTGCTAGAAGTGACAAGAGTGACAATGCAGGGTGCAGAGCATTTGGAGTTATCTTGCTCCAGGAGGGGGACCAAATTTCAACTACATTAAGTTTAAGAAGAAAAACATTAATTTTGGCAAAAAAACAGAAGGCTCTAAATTGCTTTAAAAATTCATTGGGGAATAACAGCCACCATTAGGGCCAATGTAGCATAACTCATTAAGATCACATTCCAACACACCAGAGAAGTAGGTGATACAGTATGGACACTGGCCAGAGTAATACCGGCCAGTTATAATATGACACACACAAAATGAGAAATAACATAATAATAATAATAATAATAATAAAAACAGAAAATGAAAGAGTCCAGGAACCACGATTCATACTTTGGTGATCAGACATAAGATTCATTCTTAATACTATCTTATTTGGTTTACAAGCCAAATTAAATCTTCTGACAGATCGAAGATGTGCCTTCTGTTTCTAGTGATATTTAATTCAAAACCAGGGAAGGGAAGCTTTAGCAAGTCACCATTTTCCCAATTTTAAGTCATAGAAAAAAGAAAGCAGGCAAGAAGGAAAGACACATAATGAAACATTCCAGGAGAACTGATGATAGGCAGTACATGAGGGGACAGACATATCTAAATAATACAAAACTAAATAATAAACTTATAGATTGCCGCCAAGCAAACAACAGCAACAAAAAAAACCTCGTGATGCTTAAGATGGCACACAGGGGACATTCACTGTATCACTACTCCCCAGGTGCTACAGTTGTTAAAGCCAACGTCGAGGCGTTTCAGTGGCAATCGTGAAATCCCTCTCGATGCACGGCAGAATTATTCCGTGTATTTTTTCATTAAAATAAAGAAATAAGAGAGCGCCTTAGCGCGGCCAGGGCAAATTCGCCGGCTACAAGCGCTGCCGTGATGCCGAGGCGGCCCCAGGCGCCGTGCCCAGCCCGCGACCTCCCCTTCCGCGCAGCCCCTCAGGCCCGGTCAGGCCCGGGCCGCCCCTCTCCCCAGGGCCGGGCACACGGCGCAGCGCGGCGCGGCCCGGCCCAAGCCGGTCTGTCCGCCCCGGGGGCGGCACTCCCCGCGCCCCCCACCCCCGGGGGACGCCCCCGGTCCCACAGCGCGCCCCACGGGCCCGCGGCGAGAGGCGCTGCACGTTCACCTCCTGCGGGCGGCGGCCGCCTCGCCTTCTCCCCCTCCGCTCTGCCGTCCGCCATTTTCCCCCGCCTCCGCCTCCCGCGCAGCGCATGCGCGCCGCGACGCCGCGGCCCCGCCGCCTCCCGCTCCTCCCACGGCCATGGAGAAGGCGCAGCGGGTGTACCGGAAGCGGAAACTGCTCGGGGAGGGCGGGAAGAACTCCAAGCGGCGCCCGTGTGGTGCACTTCCGGCGGGTGGGGGCCAGAGCCGGCGCGAGCCGAGTAACGCCCTGCGGACTGCGCCAAAGTCATCCCGCATCCATCCCTTCTTCTCTCCCAGCCGTTTCCTCACGAGAAAAAAAAAATCAGAGGGCCCCGTTCTTCGGTTTCCCGGATACAAACCACTACATGCGATCGGTAATTTGAAGCACCGGGGTAGGCAACTGATGAAATCAAGAGGTTTTAACTGCCTGTGAAGGAATCCAGATGCTTCTCGCGTTCATACGGTGCCCATTGTCACCCTGCAGTCTGACCACCGGCTGTTGCAGGCTGATCGGTGAACATTCAGCTGTCATAAAAATTAAAAGGCACCCTGCACCTCTTTAAGTACTCACTATGATGACTTTATCATCTCAGAACTTCCAGCAGCCTGGGAAATGTGTGCTACACAGACTGAAAACAGTCATTTTGCAGGGAAAAGCCACTCAAAAGAGTGCAAGGTATTTTTTGGCAGGCTCAGGCAAATCTGGGATATTCCTTCCTAACTGTGAATTTCCTTGTCCCAGAACACTCAGAAACAAACCATGCAACTTCCACAACTCCGCAAACTCACATTAAAAGAACAGAGAAGCATTGGCATAGCCTGCTCAGGGGGGTGTTGGAGTCACCATCCCTACATGTGCTCCAGAACTCTGTGGATGTAGCACTGAGGAGCATGGTTAGTGGGCATGGTGTGGATAGGTTGGTGGTTGGATTAGATTATCTTAGTGGTCTTTTCCAGCATTAACAATTTTATGATTCCATGTCAAATGTCAGTGTATCTACGCCCCAAAAACAAAGAAAAGTGTCGTCTTTTTGGTCTCGCCTGATCTTTTAGAGTAAGGCTGTGGACTGCCTCCATTTGCAAACCCATAGCACTGGGGTATTCCTTGGAGAACAAACTTCATATTTTTTAAGAATCACCCTTACCCATTATGACTCAAGTGAACAGATTCATACACAGTGTAATCTAACTTCCTCTGCATAATTTCAAAAGTGCACAAGTAAATTCAAACAGACCCAATAACACAGTCATTAAAAAAGAAATACTCTAACAAAATTGTCTTTTTGAACGAGTCTAATAAATTTTAGTGACAAATAGTAACTACAGAATACAGTCCCAGAAGTCTCAGGAAACTGGCACATTTAGGGTTATAGCTTGCCTGTGAAATAATTTTCTTCTCCATCACTCTATTTTTGTGTTAGCCTCTTGGAGTAGTTGTTTGCAAATCGCTTTTGTAATTCTTCTGGTCTCTTCCCAAGTTTAAGCATGTTGATCAAGTTTAAGGTTTTTTTCAGTTCATGCATAGGCTTGTCTACAAAGCTGCAGTACTTCCTTTTTGGAACAAATTCCAGAGCCTTCTTCCAATCTCCAGTATCTTTCAAGGTTAATAAAATATGCATCATCTGATCCAGCGTGAGATTTTTAGCACCGCAATTCCAAAGCAAGTATTTCTCCAAAGGAAGGGCTGCAGTCTCTAACCCCAGTCGTTTTGCCTGTGCTAAAGACACTCCTGTTTTTATATTCTTGTCAACCATAGACCCAAGAATGTAGATTTTGTCATGATCAAAAGTTTTCATTACTTTGGGAGAATCAGCAGTCAGATAGACAAGCTTATCCTTTGGAAAGATGTCTGTGTAGCACTGGTCTGTCACAGTGATAAGCAGTTTGTCCCATGCTCCTCTATAACTTTTGATAAATTCCTTATGATACAGACTATCATCTTTGAAATTACAGAAATGAATGTGGAATGGATCCACAGATCTTCGATTACAACCTTCACTTAATACTATTTGTCTCACTGCATTTGCTACTTCTCTGACAGACATGTACTTTTCGTAAGACATATCAAACACTAGAGGCTGGCCAAAGATCATAGACTGAGCAACTCTCCAGTTGTATGCTTTATCCATAGAGCTGCTCCACAAACAAACAAATGGATTCTTCTTGGGCTCTTCAGTTTCTGAAGCTTTCTCTTGTGTTTCCAGCCTCCTTTGCCTTTTTTCATCCATCTTTCTTTTGTTACTTTTCTTGTACAGTTCTTTAAGATGCAAAAATTTTAAATACTTCTTTTTGGCTGATTTGGAAGGACATTCCATAAAAGCTTTTAGCTGTTCTTCACTGATTTTTTCAGGAACTGGTCTACCAACTAGCCTCCACAACTCCAAAGTCTCACGTGCAGCAGCCAAATCGGAGAGCTCCTTAGGCTCAGAGACTGTCTTACTGACATCCTGCAACCCAGACTTCATTACTTTCTTCCACGCATCTAAATCTACTTTTTCTGAGGAACCGTGTGAATTGTCCTCTTTTAGGCAAGGTGACAGAATCAGAGTTCTTCTCAGTGGAAACAAATCCCATTTCATCCCATGTTGTATTGAAAATGAGAAGGCAGAGCATCTTACAATTTTTTTCAGAAGCATATTAGCAGCCTGCATACTTGAGCATGTGCTGTGTTCAAACAATTATCTGCAAAAAAGCACAAGAGGGGGAAAAACTTGTCAGAAGTCATGAGGAAAATACAGATGTTCATCCTTATTACTGCTGACAGACAGCAAGTTACTTGCTGAGGAATACTAGGAATTCCTGCTTCCACTGTTGCTTTTCTATTGTACTTAAAAACAACATATATGGCACTGTTGCAAACAGATGTGTTTAGCTCAACTACTTAAAACAGGTGTACCTAATGCAATTCAAAATGCAGTCAGCTTCTCAGTAGTGTTCATTTTCATTTTGTCTACCATTTGACAAATACGAACTCTGCAACAATAGCAAGCAAAATGCTTCATGGAGACTGAAAATAACTTAAAATCACATCCAGATACCTGCCTAATTTCTATTTTATTTTAGTACCTGAGTTTTAATTCTTCTACGTGTTTCCATATAATAGGACACTGAGCTATTGGAACTACCACTGCTATATTTTTGCAAAGCCAATAGTACTGCCAAGGAAGGGATGCTTGTATCCCTTGAAGCCCTAATTCCTAGCGCCCTTAGCAGCACAAGCACTTGACCCTTCACTATAAGAAAGACGCTGATGCTATGGAGAGCGTCCAAAGAAAGACAATGAAGCTCCTGGAGGGTCTGAAGCACAAACGTTATGAGGAACAGCTGAGGGAACTGGGATTGCAGACCTTACTGCTTCCTATGGCTACCTGAAAGGAGGTTGTAGTGAGGTGGGGACTGGCCTCTTCTCCCATATGACAGTGAAAGGATGAAAGGGAACACAGCCTCAAGTTGCACCAGGGGAGGTTCAGGTTGGATATTAGGAAAAGTTTCCTCTCAGGAATGTGAGGCATTGGCACAGGCTGCCCAGGGAGGCAGTGGAGTCACCATCCCTGGAGGAGTTCAAGAGCCATGTGGATGTGGCACTGAGGAATACAGTGGGCGTATGGTAGTGATGGGCTGATGGTTCGACTAAGATGACTGCAGTGGTCTTTTCCATCCTTAACAATTCTATGATTTCTGAGGCTGCACTATGAACCAAACCCAAACTGATCTTAAGGCCAACTACTGGGGAGAGGGGGGAATGCCAATTATCAACCTTACTAAAGGAAATTACATACCTGATTTGTTAGACACCTGCAAAGAGATGAAAATGGAACAACAAATATCTAAGATAACAGACGACCATCTTTTTTTTCTTGCTGCCAAGCTGTCCGTGAAGCTCACATTACTGCATAAAGCTACGGCCACAAAACACACAATCTCATTCACTTCACACACACTGGTTTTTAAATATAAGAGGTTCGTAGAAGAAATACACCTTAGAACGATTAGTATTTTCCTTGCCTTATGCAAACCCACTTAAGCAGGGGCAATGCGAGTCACGGGGCGAGCAGAGACGCAACCCCTCGGCAAAAGGCAGCACTACGCGTTCCCACCCCCAGCAGGAAATCACAGCAATAACAACCAGCAGCCCTCACCGAAGCGAGGCGGCTTAGCGCACCGCTCGCACCCCGCCGGTGCACGGCCCGAAGGCGGCAGGGCTGTGTCAGTATCCGTAGGGAGCGGAGTGGGCAAGGAGGCTTCCTTCTCGCCCGCCCCTCAGCGGCCCGCACCTGCCCGCACTGCGGCTCGTCCACGCGGTCTCCACCCGACTGCTCTTCTGAACGGCGCGGGCGAGCGCGGCTAACAGTTCCCTCACGCCATGCCGCAGTTCCCCGCCATCTCCTGCGCGTAGGGAAGGCGGGAGCGCCGCTGGGCGCGTGCGCGGGGAGGAGTCAGTCCGTCCGCTTTCTTGCCCGGGCCGCTGTGCGATCGCGGCGTTCTGCTTGTTCTGAACAGACGTTCCGGCGATCGCCGCCCCGCCGTTCAGAGGCTGTATCTTCGCCCGTTTGGGCTCCCGGCGCGGGTGGGCTGGCTCGCTGATTTCATTTTGTCAT